CTTTGGTAATGCTATCCCTTGAGAAGGGCTAGTGGTATTTCCTCACTTAGCTCTTTCATCTGCTGGGATAGATTACCTTCCCTTTGCTAGCACCCTCTGCTGTCATTTGGAGCAGAGTTCGTTTGGCAGTCTGTTTGATTACCAGGTGTAGCGGTGAAAGTTCTAGCATGACCTCCGTGCTGCGGTCGGACACGTTCGCATTGCTCCCGACGCGCAGATGAGGCAAGTCTTTGCAGCTTCGACAGTTTAAGTCCTACCGAAGTCTGCGATGCTTTCGAACCCCACGATACCGCTCCATACGTGATAATCGGTCCACAATCATGGTGTCATCCACCTGATAGTCCTTGGGGAGCACCCCCAGGATTTTCCAGCAATCGGTTGCACACCATGAGTGCTTTTGTAGCTTTGTTAGGTCTGGTCCACGTGCTGATTCCATCGCAGTGTGGAATCCAGCGTAAGTCCCAGATGCTTGACCGTGCTGGACATCTCAACCACTCTGCCGTCCAGGGATTATTCCTGAGGCCCGGCAGTGACCTCCGTTTGGTGAAGGGAATGATGTATTTTTCGCGGGGTTGCTGTTTAAGCAACCCCCTACACCATCCCTTTGCCAGTCCCAATCCCTCTGAACGATATCGCAGAGTGTGTCTTCAAAATTGCCCCTAGCTAAGATAACAATGTCATCCGCATATCCTGACAGCGGATTCCATAAGCTAGTCAGTCGCTCAAGGAGGTCGTCCACAACTAGGCTCCAAGTAGGGGATAGCACTCCGCCCTGTGGGCAACCTCTTGTTGTTTCCAGACGAATTAGTTACTCCTACTGCGGCTTCCGCCACCCTAGTGCGCAGCATGGCTGCAATCCATCTGCGCACTGGTGCTGCCACACTTCTTTTCTCCAGTGCTCTTGACACGGATCTCTGAGGTTAGCTGGTACAGAGCAGTGTTAGTTGACCTACCTGCTCTGTAAGCATGTTGCTTCTCATGAAGCGGTGAAGCTTTCAGCACCTTCGATCGTAATTCGTGGTCTATGATCTTTTCCATACTTTTAAGTAGGAAGGAAGTAAGACGATTGGCCTGAACGATTTTCGCCAATGAGTAGTCTTTCCTCCCTACTTTGGGTATGAAGATCACCTTTGCGTGCGCCATGGTTCTGGATATATGCCAGCGTTAGGCTATCCCTCATCAGCCGAACAAGGTGGGAGTAGCACCTGCTCCCCCTGTTGCAGAAAAGCTGGAAGGATACCATCCGCACCCGGTGACTTATATTTTTCAAAGGAGGCCAGAGCCCACTTGATGGAGTCTGCAGTGAAGAGCTGTTTTGCGACTGTCCAGTCCAAGCGTGACGGCCTTCGTTTGACCATAGGTCGAATCTGGTCTTCTTGAATCGTCTCCGGGAAATGCGCTAGTAGAAGAGCCGTAGCTCTTTCTTCTGCGCTGGACGTATAGGTCCCATCAGATCGTTTGATCGCTAGTACTGTGTCCGTCTTTCCTCTAGCCAGAGCCTTATGCAGTCTAGCTGCCAGAACTTCCTAAAGCTCTTCTGTTTCGCGGTCCTAATCTCCTTATTGTAAGCAGTTGGGCTGCATCTGTAATCCTCCCAGTTTCCGGTGCGCTTAGCCTTATTGAATAGCTTGCGCACCGTTTTTCTTAGTACTGAGAGTTTACTAGACCACCAGCAGCAGTTACTGCTCTTGGCGACTGTCTTTAGGGGGCAGCTGCTATGATAGGCTTCTGTGATGGATTCGTTTAGGGCAGACAGTCTGCTCTCCAATCCAGAAGCCGTTGCGCTTCTATCCAGCTGCTCCCTACTGCTAACATTTGTTTTAAGCGACTCCCTGAAAACGGCCCAGTCCGTGTTCCTAGGGATACGCTTGGGAGGGAGTTGCCCGACCCCCATCCCCAGCACGAATCTTATGATACGGTGATCCGACATGGAAGGTTCCGATGATACCCTCCATTGTGAGATCAGCCCCATCTCAGACTCGCTACTGAGAGTGATGTCAAGCACCTCCCTTCTGACACTAGTTACAAAGGTGGGTTCGCATCCCACGTTTGCTATACTTAAATTATTACTAACTATAAACTCGATAAGAGACTCACCCCGTGTGTTGCAGTCCGTGCTGCCCCATTCGATGTGGTGGGCATTCGCATCGCAGCCCATGATAAGGGGCAGTTTATTCCGCCTGCAGTGCTCTATCAGGTTGCCGATTGCCTCTGGGGGTGCTATCGGAGTCTCCCCCGGAAAATAGGCCGCTGCCACGACGAAGTCCGCTCCTTCGTCGTTCGTGGCTTGTACAGCGACCAGGTCCTGTGTTAGGAACTCTGAAATACTGAAAAAATCAATACCGTTCCTAAGTACTATGCAGGTTCTAGGTCTCTCACTTGAGAGGTCCCAAATTACCTTGTTTGACTCCATTTTGAGGCCCCTGACCTCTCCTTTTCTGACCCATGGCTCCTGGATCAGTAGTATGCCCAGACCATCGATCGTCAATCAATCAGTCAACATACATATATATGTATGTATGTATATATAACATTGCCAACAAATAATGCATACACAAACCAACCTACATACATATGAATATCCGTACACATGTATATATGTCACCTGCAAAAACTACAAACATTGTTCTACAAAAACAACAATCGTCACAAGTCAATATGTCAGCCAAATAGGCGAAGCCCAAATTTATAGTAAATTGCACAACAAAAACATTTTCATTCATGAACGCAGGCGTACTTTTAACAAGCAACCTCGCTTCATTCATAAAAACAGATACCCTCACATCCCCCCGAGCATGCTTTTGCCTACAAGCGTCTGTTCACGACGATGGCAAAAGCTAAAAATCATAAATTGAACAAATTTCTGATATTCCCTCTAGAAGGGAAAAGTGACAACCCCTCAAATATGAGTATTAAAATATTTTAGAATAAAAGTGACAACATAGTATATGCCGATTTACAATTCAAGAAACTTTTTAAAGAAAATATTCAATATTCCTCTGATTTATGTATACAGTAAGCCCCGGTTAAGTATCACTCCTTCAATCCCTCTTATCTGCCTGTGTCTTGCTGCATCTCACGTTTTTTTTTCTTAATTTTTTAAGGAAAACAGTAATTTTTTTTTAAATACATAGAAATTATTTTTTTGGTACCAGTCGCTTAAGTACCACAATCGCTTATGTACTACAAAGCACAAAAAATCTGCAACTTTGGTTTTGGCACTTAACCGGGTTTGACTGTATTTGTCAAAGAATGTGCGTATGTAAATATGCGAATTTTTTGTACACACATCTGCCCGTATATATGCACATGACTCGTTGACTTTGTTTCCATTTACGCATGCCACGTTGTATATGAAAAAGGGTTGATTTTGCAATTGCCATATCCGATGTATGTTTGTAAGAGTATGTATGGTTCTGATTTCCCATGAAACAATGAGTGTACATGTTTACATACAAACGTTGCATATAGACAAATTAACAATTATAACGGGTACTTTCATATATGTTTACATGCACACATAATTATACATATACTTACATATATATGTATAAGAATATTTGCGACCGCTTGGTCTTTTTTTATGAGGTTATGTCAAGCAAGAGGAGTACAAAATCAAACCCAGATATCTGACTGAACTGAAGCAGTTCATTAGATAGATATTTGAGGCAATCCCGACGAACCCTCCAGCCCGCATTAATTTTCTAATTAGGTGTCGCATATGCGTGGCTGAGCATGGAGGAATAATTAATTGTATAAAATAAAATAAGATTTTCTATACAATACAAAAAAAATTAAGGTAATGCATTGATTTAAAAGAAACTTATTACGGTTTATTTTTGTAGCACGATTCGTGAGCCGCCCTGTATATGCAGAATTTCTTAAAATTATGTGTAAATTCGTTTGCGCATTGTAAATATACGAATCTGTAAACGTACATTTCTTAACATTGAATTTAGCATTATTTTTCTCTTTTAACATTCAAAATTCTCAATTCTGCTATTTTGCGCTCCGCAGGGGTAAAATTCTGGTGAAATCAGCTTATAATTTGTTTGTGGTGAAATGCACTAATGTTGGCGAGTAACCCTCCGTCAAGAGGAACATTTTGACAATCGGCACACCATGAACCTTCTCTATGATATACGTTCTCTAGTATAATCCCCTTTTATTATTCATTTTAATTCGTTCGCAAAATATAAATATATATAATAGATATGGCAACACTTATTATCTGTCAACATGGAACCCATTTGTTATTTTGCATATAACGAAATTTGTGTACAAATAAAATACTTATTTAAAGCAAATAAAAAATAACCCTGGCCGATCCAACACCGGGGTGGTCGTTAAACCTTTCTAGTCCTATTTCTTTCGGCATTGGCGGCCTTCGGCCGCGCTTTAGAAAAATAACACTGGCAAATCCAATACCATTGTTTATCAAGAGAATTGAACGAACAAAACTATGGTTCATGTATTGGGGGTATAATCCTCTTTTATTACTCATTTTAATTCGTTTGAAAAATTTAAATATATATATGTATATATGTATGTAATAGATTTGGCAACACTTATTATCTGTCATTATGGAACATATTTGTTATTGTGCATATATGGGGAAGTGTTAGTGCATAATAAGTGCATAATATAAAAGAAAAATTAACTATAAATCGAGAAATTGTGAAATAAAATTTGTGAAATTTTTAATTTAAAATGCAAACATCTCGAAAACTATAAGTTTCCGGCGGCTATATATATATATTCTTTATCTGGAGAATCTCCTCTATCCAACCATACCCTTTTTAACCCTGAAATCGTGAGATGGTATACTAAAGCCGACCCCTTCACTACTTTGTTTCTACATATTTATTTTATATCAATTGTTTTCATATTTGCTTTAATTGTTTAAATTTTTTTCACAATTTTCGTTATATCCACAATAACAAATTAACAGCAAAAAAAAAAACTAAAGAAATGTAACAGTCACAATATTTTTTACACAGCTATCTGATCTGGTCCATCCAACAGCGGGGTTTCAATAATTCTTTTGTATCGGACTGCTTTCAGCACGCAAAAGAACTACGGACATCCTGGTGAAAAAACCGAATTTCCGCTCACGGATTATAATTTTCGCAGTATATTTGGGATTTAAAATAGTATCACCAAAATTCGGAGTTAAAATAAAAGGAAATCTTTAGTGTCGCATACCCCCGAATTCCGGGATAAAATGGGTATTTAATCATAAATAGTGTACACACAGCTTTAAATCGTAATAAATGTTTTCGTAAATTTTACTTATTTATCATAACAAAACGGTTACGTGCAAACAAATAAGTGTGGCTATACCTATATTTCGCAAATGAGCAAAAATAAATAAAATGGAAAAGATGAAACTGCAAATACATGAAAGAGTTAAAAGAAAGTTGTAAATTTTCAGAATAGCGGCTTTTCTGAAAAAATGGTCCAATTTTGTGTGAAAATATCTCAAACACTTACTTAAACAATAAATAGAGCGCATACGGTTGAAAACAATAATCTTTTTTTTTTTTTAAATGAAAAAACATATTTCTGCGAATTTTATTTTCAATCATTCACCTGCACTTTTTTTGATTTTTTTTTTAAAGTCTTGCAACATGTTGGCACAGAGAATAATAGTTATGTTTACCTAACGGTTGTTTGTATTACCTAACAAGTAAGAAAGCGCTAAGTTCGGATGTAACCGAACATTTTATACTCTCGCAAAGTCAAATGGAATACTCGTTTCAGATTTCTTTGTAGATCTTGCCGCCTTGTTCTATGTTGACCGATATTTTCGGTAAAAAGCTATAGGGACTGGGGTCCACATATTCAGTACCTAGGGGCTTGAACAGTTTTAATTCGATTTAGACAATTTTTGGTTACAAGGTGGCATACTTTAAACGTATTATTCACTCAAAGTTTTACGCCGATATAATCATTGCTGCTAGATTTGCATACTGGAAAGTGAAAACATCAGATAGAATTTAAAATGCTGTTATACGAGGGCTGCTATATATATTTATGGCCTAATAATGAAAATACGAATATTTATCAACGAGCATGGTTTTATTGTTTTTCAAAATATTCTCCATCAAGATTTATACACTTTTGCATGCGCTCAAACCAATTTTCGAAGCACTTTTTCCACTCCGATTGAAACACCTCCAAAACATGGTTTTTGAATGCTTTAACAGCATCTTCTGGCGACGAAAATCGTTGACCACGCATTATTTTCTTGATGTGTGGGAATAAAAAGAAGTCATTGGGTGCCAAGTCAGGGCTGTACGGCGGATGACCCATCAATTCGACGTTTTGGCCGGTCAAAAAGGCGCTGGTTTGAGGTGCACAATGATTCGTCTTCTCTTGTTCGTTTTTCGAATTTCTCCGAAGACTTCAGGCAAACAAATGGTGGTGTACCACTCAGAATTGACCGTCCTACGTTGCTCAAGCGGAACAGTTTTGCCGAAGAAACAGGCGACCATTTGCTTCGAAGTGCTTCTTCCACGAACAACTTTCGTTGGATTTGGCTCGTCTTGGAAGACAAACACGGTCGATTGCTTTTTTGTTTCGGGCTCATACGCATAGATCCATGATTCGTCACGTGTGACGATCTTATAAACGTCTTTTGAAGCACCGCGATCGTATTTTTTCAGCATTTCTTTACACCAATCCACACGAGCCTTTTTTTGAGCGATTGTCAAACTGTGCGGGATCCAACTAGAACAAACCTTTTTTACGGCCAGGTGTTCATGCAATATCGAATGTATGCTGGTGGGAGAAATGCATAGGCATGCCTCTATCTGAAGGTATGTTACATGACGGTCTTGCATTATCAGTTCACGTACGGCATCGATGTTTTCTGGCTGTTTTTGGACGACCTTCACGGAATTCGTCTTTGAGCGAGCGTCGGCCACGATTGAATTCGTTGTACCAGTTTTTCACAGTGCTATAGGATGGTGCTTCATAGCCATACAAAGATTTTAGTTCATCGATGCAAGATGCGATGCGAGATGAATTTTTTAATTCCCTGTAAATAAAACAATTCACGATTAAATGACTAAACGTTCTGAGTGATGTTATGCTAAAAAATGTCAAACTTTCCAATGGAAATGTCAGATTGCACCTGGCAACAGTTAGTGTTGCCTAGGCCAGAAATATATATAGCAGCCCTCGTATGGGAAATAGGCGCGGTTGTAATCCGATTTTCGTACTATAATATAGAAATATGAGAGGAATATTATGTACCGAATTTGGTTGAAATCGGTTAAACAGATCCCAAAATATGGGCTTTCACCTAAAACAGGGCGGTGCAAGGCCCACTGACTAATTTTGAACGTGGGTCCTATAAAGTCATCTCATATTATCCCAGAGATAAAAATTGAATGTTTCTGGCTTGTTTAGTGTTTGATTTATCGCGCTTTTAGTAGTTTTTAACAGTACCGTGGGCGGGGTTGTCACCCGATTGCACCCATTTTCACACCGTCGATAGAGATGCTAAAAACATTTCTTCTCAGTGATTTTTTTTATTGTAGCTTCAGGGGCTGGACCCCGCCCACTTTAAAAAATATTTTAACTGCAGATGCCCCTCCCTAATGTGATCCTGTATTCCAAATGAGAGTCTTATATCTTGTTTTGGAGCTTAGTTATGCCAATTTTCTTTGTTTTTGATTAATGGCGTTTTGTGGGCGTGGCAGTGGTCCGATTACGCCCATCTGCAACACCAACCGCCTTACGGTATCAAGAAACATATGTACAAAGTTTCATAAATGTACCAAGATATCTAAATTTCTACTCAAGATACAGCTTGCACAGATGGACAGACAGTCACCCGGATTTCAACTCGTCTCTTCATCCTGATCATTTATATATACATAACCCTATATCTAACTCGATTAGTTTTAGGTGGTACAAACAACCGTTAGGTGAACAAAACTATTATACTCTGTAGCAACAGGTTGTGAGAGTATAAAAAGTAAGGAAGGGCTAAGTTCGGATGCAACCGAACATTTTATACTCTCGCGTAGTCAAATGGTATACTCGTTTGGGATTTCTTTATATATTTTAATAATTAGAGCAATCGTTCTTGTGTTTTATTGTATACGCTTATAATTTATTTTATATAGAATGAATTACAACTGTATTGAGGAGTATGAAAATAAATCGTTTTTTGACAATGAATAAGATTTTTTATTTATTTTATCGGAATTATTATACATGTTTAGCTTTAAAAATTATATTATTATATCAATATAGTATATAATATTTACAATATTAAACATAAATTTTTATATAGATTCTTATACATATATCCAAATTATATTTCTTTTCTCCTTATACTATTTAATTTCTATCAAATATTTATACAATAATGTCTTATATAATAACAAATTATACATATAATTTAAATTTTCTTAATTATATTATTTACATATTTTTCTTAAAATTGTCTTAAAAACTACTGTCAAAATTTCTATACCATTTCTTAATATATATTTGAAAAAAAAATGAGCTATTGCAATAAGTCTAAAATGCATGTTTGAAAATGCCCAATCAATTGGTGTACTGGCAGGTGTAGTTGAATATTCTACACCAAGCAGGGAACTAAAGTTTTTTTCTTGGTGCAAATTTTCTATTGAATTCCCTGTAGACATTAAACAAATGTTGAAATCTCCAACAATTAGCACATTTTGATTGCATAACTCAGAAGTATGGACTTCCTGAAGTTCTACAATTAAATGTCTGACAGAGAAAGCTGAATTTCTGTATAGAACCAGAATATTAATACTGAAACATTTAAACAAAACCGTTTCTAAAACTTTGCGGCCTGAATAAATTTTCTTTACAGCCTTTGGTTCTATAGAGCTAGCAATACTATGCTTTGCATATAGTATAATGCCCTGTTTATTTCTGTTGGTTGTTTCCGTGGTAACTACCCTCAGCTCGTTAATTGGAGTAAATCCTGGTATATCAAAATTTTCGCACGGATAACTCCAAGTTTCTACAAAACATAAAATATCTGAAGGTAGCATCAAACAGTCGCTTTTTATATCATTAATGTGAGCGTGAAGACTCTGAACATTATGGAATAAAATTTGATGTTCTGATGTTCGGGAAATCATAAAATTGAAACTTGTTGTCAAAGCTTTATTTGTGTTCAATTCCTTCAGTTCCTTAAATACAGTCGAGTATGAACTACAACTTTATTATATGTGGCACCCTGACTTTTATGAATAGTTATTCCCTCAGCCGGAACAACTGGAAACTGATTTCCTTCAATTGAAATTTGTTCATTTCTTTTAAATTAAAAAGATTTTAAAACTTTTTCAATTGGTGTCCAAGAATTTTCTAGAGGATGAGGCTTTTTTGATCGTGCTATCAAACCAACAGAAGGTTCCAAAAATTTAATCCACAGAATTTTTGGAAAGGAACATTGGAAATCAATATGCATAAGTTGTCCAGCTGCCCCATTAACCAGGCCATCACACGTGTTTATATTCACTGTAATCATATATTTGGCGGAGGTTTTTAGTGTGAATTCATAGGGCAGTCCATGCGTTTCAGAAGTTTTGAAAAGTTTAACTCTTTCAAAAATATTCTCATTTTCACTTATACCAACTCCTTTAACTGAGTCTTTTGCAGTTGAAAGGATAGCTTGTTAGATAGTTGGGATTCGACTAAGCTTAAGGGCATTGAAATTATTTGTCTCTTCATTGGACCAAAATAAATGTATGGCATCATCGGGAACTTCTTCGAAATTAACTACTCGAGTTTCAATGAGTGATATGTCCTCATTTGTTATAGTACCAGATGCCATATGGTTTAATGCAATTGCAAAAGCCTGATCCTCTCGTTGTCTTATTATTTCTGTTAATTCAAAGTATTTAAATAACTCCCCGAAAGAGGAACCAACTACAGTGCTGTATGCATCATTGGGATTAGGAGAGAATATCAACCTATCTCCAACAGGTGAGATTTGCTTCAAATCACCAAACACGATGATCGGTATACCACCGAAGGGTCTGTTTTGAAAATTTGTTTTAATCTCGCATCAACAGAGCTAAACATACGAGCACCTACCATCGATATTTCATCAATTATGATTAATTTTAAATCGATAAGTCTGGGATACCATGAATTAACTGTGTCATTGCTAAGTGGCCTCAACTCTCTATTCAACTGATTAACAGGTAAAGAGAATATTGAATGAAGGGTCATTCCACCTATTCCGAATGCTGCTTTACCCATAGGTGCGCAAAGAAGAACTTTTAAGGAACTTGGATTTGATCCAGGTGTAGAATTGTAACGATGGTTAGGTGTTTCATATATTGCAGATATCAAACGACTCTTTCCTACACCTGCACCGCCGCCAATGAACTCATAAAATGGGCGATTTGTTTTTAGCTGGTGCGTCAAATGTGTCAAATAGGTTCTTTGCTTAGTATTTAGACTTTGAACTAAAGAAAATAATTTCTCAACTGGAATTAAAGGGGGTAGTTTAATAAGTCTAATATTGCAATCAGATTCAGTGCCATTATCTGTTGAATCTTCGCCATGTTGTTGATTCCGCCATGGATAGTAAAGCATTACCATTTCGCGGAAATACTCAACTCTGGCCAAATCTGAGTTAAACCTTCTATACCGAATAATACAAGGTTTGGTATGTTTCTTAACAAAACCACTACCGTCTTTAAGAGGCATGACAACCCCGCTTTCTGGTAAATTATCGTTTTCCCTTTCTTGTGCTCTTCTACTACATTTAACATATTTATACATAGATGCAAAAGCAGCTAAACAAAGAGTTTCTAACTGATCGGATCTTTGAACATAACGGTCTAAAATACCGCATACCGAATATTTCAGTCGAACCTGAAGGAAGGTTCTGAAGTTCTGCTCTAGGTTTCACCATTCGAACACGTTCCTCAGGTCGAGAGGTATTTAAAAATATTTCTGCATTACCTGCTTCCGAAAGATGGAGCCCAACGCAGCAATATACTGCTTCTTGTGCAGATATTTCTGTGCCTGATATAAATTTGTGACCTATGTATATGTTTAATTTTTTGCTTAACAGTATAATTTCCAGCATTTACCGATGATATAGCTTCATTTAAGAGCCTAGAAACTTTCCTGTTCGACTTGTTAATATAATTAATTATATATGAACAGCAAGCATATGCAGCCAGTATATATTGGATATCCATATTTGCTCTATGGAGTTCCAAAATCAGAGGATTATAAGCGTTTATAAAACGATCCTGTAATTTAATTTTTAGAAAAATTTTGGGTTTTGTTAAACTTGATCTAAGGGCTAACAAATAGTCATCAAAAGACATACCTATTTGTTCTACTATCAGACAGGAAATGTTCAAAATCTCTTAAATTAGAAATTTGTCTTTCTGAGTTTTGACTTGTTTCTGTAAGAGGTAACAGTATTTGCGTTGAAGGCATTGGTGGATATGGTATACCAAAACGACAAAACTCCTGTCCTGTCCTGTCCTATACCTGTCCTCTTATTTCCCTAGTACAAGACCGACTGTGGTTATGCTTTTGATAACCCAAATAATTTTCTAACTGGCTAACCGAACCATCTGTAGAAATATAATTGTCAATAAAACTAATGACATCAGGGAATGTCTGAGGATCTTTAAGGTTGATCCTGGGAGCATTATTAAGCCAATACATGCCATGTACATGCGGGGAACCTCTCTGTTGAAACTCCACTCTCCAGTAGAAATTTGTGACAAAATGCGCTCCAAAAATGCCGGCATTATCTTTAAAAAGCTTAAGAATTTGTCGATAGCGGTAGTCAAAATATCTAGCACAAGTAACCGCGTCTGACCGAATTAAGCGATATCTATCTTGGGTTGTTAAACTGTTGACATCCTCTTCCGAAATATCTTTAGAATCAACAGTTTTAGAGAGGATGACCAAAAGCTCAACCCACTGAGATTCTGCAGCCGATAAAGTGATAAAGAAGGTTGGAAGCCCAAATTGGCGAATCATAGCGATTACCTTTTTCTTCTCAGCTTCCCAGTGCGCAGGAGAGGATCTAACGCCTTTCAAAACCTTGTAACCATCATCGTGTTGAATTAAGTTTTGAACAAAGTTTTCGTTTAATAGATTTTGGGCCGTAACTTGGTTGCAAGCTTGTGTGGAAAACGTCAACCAGAGAATCGGAATACATTATATGAAGGTGTGAGGTTTAGAATTAGTATATACTAATTTCATTCTAATTCAGCGTCAAACGACATAATTTTTAAGAAAACTTATCCACTTAATTACATTAAAATATCACATTTTGATCAACCAGAACGGTTTAAAGTCAAGAGGAAAGACAGAAATCATATATATATATTGGGGATAGAAAAAGATATTAATTTTTACATTGTTCAGCTATACTCGAGAACATATTTTGAAGCAATTTTATATATAAAAAAAATTTTAATACTCACTGACCGACATACGAGAAGTATTATTAGTAGAATATGGAAGTAGAGGGTAGCATTAACCCGATTTGATCAAGTTTTGCCAATACTACAGCTACTAACATGCCACAGACTAATAAAATGCTCCCACTGTTTCATTAAGGTACCTCACATACCATCACCAATCATATGGAGTAAAGTCAGACGAATGTTCGAAAATCTTGGTATTAGTTACATGGGGGCCAGGTAAAATTTTCACTCGATTTCATCCATTTTAGGCACAAAAATACCTTGTTATGTGTAAAACACGCTCTTTCATTGAGATAACTCACATATTGGCCGATATATGCGGTATAAAGTCACCCGGAAGTTCAAAAATCTTTATATTAGGTATATGAGGGCTATAGGAAGTATAGATTCGATTGAACCCATTTTTTGACACAAACACTATTAGCGAGAGTTTTATTTATTTATTTTATTATATGAATTTCAATTAAATGTCTTACACATTGACCGATATTTTCGGTAAAAAGGCAACTATAGGCACTGGGGTCAACAAATTCAGTACCTAGGGACTTGAATAGTTTTGGTTCGATTTAGACAATTTTTGGTCACAAAGTGGCATACTTCAAAAGCATTATTCACGCAAAGTTTTACCCCGATACAATCATTGTTGTTTGATTTGAATAGTGGAAAGTGAAAAAATCAGATGGAATTTAAAATGGTGTTATATGGGAAATAGGCGTGGTTGTAATCCTAAATGTGGGTTTTCACCTAAATGTGGGCGGTGCCACGCCCATTGTCTAATTTCGAACGCGGCTCCTATAAAGTCAGCTCATACGATCCCTGAGTTAAAATTTAATGACTCTGGCGTGTTTAGTGCTTGATTTATCGCGCTTTTAGTACTTTTTAACAGTACCGTTATATGGGGAGTGGGCGGGGCACGCCCACAAAACGCCATTAATCAAAAACAAATAAATTGCCATAACTAAGCTCCACAATAAGATACAAAACTGTTATTTGGTATACAGGATCACATTAGGGAGGGCATCTTCATATAATTTTTTTTTTAAGTGGGCGCGGTCCCTCCCCTAATAGGTTTAATGTGCATATCTCCTAAACCGCTAAAGCTATAATAACAAAATTCACTGAGTGCAAATGTTTATAGCACCTCTATCGACAGTGTGAAGATGGATGAATCAGGTGACAACCCCGCCCACTTCCCATATAACAGTACTGTTAAATACTACTAAAAGCGCGGTAAATCAAGCACTAAAAACGCCAGAGACATTCAATTTTATCTCTGGGATGGTATGAGATGACTTTATAGGATCCTCGTTCAAAATTAGACTGTGGACCTGGCACGGCCTACTTTTAGGTGAAAATCCATATCTTAAAATCTGCTTTACCGATTTCAATCAAACTCGGTATAGAACATTCTTCTCATATTTCTATGTTATAGTGCTAATATGGGCGAACTCGGTACAACCACGTCTATGTATTTTTTATATTATATAACACAATTTTAAATTCCATCTGATTCTTTCATTTTCCACTAATCAAGCAAGCAACAATGAGTGTATCCAGGTAAAACTTTGCGTGAATAATGCGTTTAAAGTATGCCACCGTGTTCAAGCCCCTTGGTACTGAATATGTGAACCCCTGTGCCTGAAAGTATGAGTTATGAATAAGTAAATGAAACTCTCGTTAATACAATAGTATATTTTTGTGTCAAATTGTATTCATTGTAAAAAAACGATTTCTTTTCATACTCCTCAATACAGTTGTAATGCGTTCTATTATATAAAATCAATTATAAGCGTATAAAACAAAACATAGGAACGATTTCTCATAATTTGAGTACATTTAGTTAACAAATTGCTCTAAGTAATTCCACTGTGAATGTAAATAACTGAGGCAACAGTTTCTACTTCTAATTATTAAAATATATAAAGAAATCTAAAACGAGTATACCATTTGACTTTGCGAGAGTATAAAATGTTCGGTTATATCAGAACTTAACCCTTCCTAACTTGTTCGTATATCGATTAGTGTTAAGGTGGGTTCAACGTGTCAATCATGACAGCAGTGTTGCAGAGAAGTTAAAGTATTGCGTTTTCCCTGAAAAATCGCAAATAATCGGCAACACTCGTAATCTCACAATAATACAAGATATATATCAGACGATATAGTGTTAATAGTATCAGGACTGTTTCCATCCACAATCAGTGAGATAGAGGAAAAAGCCTTACAAAGGTTGCAAGGGACTAGGGGTCAAACCTGGTAAGACGGAACTGATGCTATTCACTAATAAACCAAAATACCTAAATTTCATCTTCCAACACGGTGGTACTACAATTTCTCTATCCTACACGACATAATATGTAGGGGTCTAGATTGATACCACTGATACTGACTATATATATGTATATATTTGAGTAATGGAAAATGTTAATGCATCCAGTCTGGATCTTGCCCTATCCCCAATATACGCGATATAGGAATTTCCGAATATCCATTTTTCATGTTCCCTGTTTTCATAAAGATTCAGCGCTGAATCTAGACCTCATACCCACTATATTAAATTAAGCCTCTAATTGAGTTTATAATCCGTCCAGTTCTGGATGAGTTTGGAATACAGGTTTTTCTTTTGCAATTCTCAAGAAATATTTCATTGTTTAAATTTTTTTTAAAATGATAGTGATGAAAAAAGATATTTGTAAATAAGACTTAAGTGTATTGGTCTACTTTTCAGATTTTAATATGAGCAACTGTAGCAATTCTATAAGTAATTGTCCAAATTCTGACTTCATATTCCGAAAGCCTTGTTCATATAGTTCACCTGTAACGGAAACGGAAGATGTGGATGATCGGGATGATGATATGACTTTCTGCATGTCAAATTATGCCAAAGAAGTTTTAAAGATGATGTTTATGATGAGATCTCATAATATGCTTACAGATGTTGTATTGGAGGTAAAACAAGAATTATTTCCAGCACATAAAGTGGTTTTGTCGGCAGCATCACCTTATTTTAAAGCTATGTTTACAGGAGGTTTAAAAGAATCAGAAATGTCACGTGTTCAACTACAAGGAGTATGCGATTTTTTATATTATTAAAAAAATAATACTTCTAATTTAAAATGATCCTCTATGTACTAGGTGTGTCCCACCGCCATGGGTCGAATAATTTATTTTATGTATACGGGACATATACGTGTAACAGAAGTGACAGTCTGTCAGTTGCTACCTGCGGCAACAATGTTCCAAGTGCCCAACGTTATAAACGCATGTTGTGCTTTCTTAGAGAGGCAATTGGACCCAACCAATGCTATTGGTATCGCCAGTTTCGCAGAACAGCATGGGTGTTTAGATCTTCAGAAGAAAGCCAACTATTTCATAGAGAGACATTTTACACAGGTAAAGTTTCAAAACAATTTTTTTTGCTTTGTCATGCCCACTTTTTTCAACATATTAAATTTCCAGTCAGTTAGTTGGTTAGTAGTGTACTTCTGATTCCTCAGTTTTCCCTACAAACTTAGAAAATTGTCCTTAGATTATATTAGCTTATTTCATTATTGTTTGCTGTTATAATAGTTTTTAATTCAATAACATTTATCTTATACTACCGTTCTACGTACATATATGATACTCTGCACATGGTTTAAATACAATAATATTAAGTAAACACGGTATTTTAGACACAATATGATTTGATGTTAAATTAAAAAATTAGTCCATACTTCCTCTAACCCCCATATAACCGATGTACTTATTTCCGTCCTTCTGGTTGCCGAAGCAATGGGTTCTTGATTTGTCCATTGAAGTCCATATTATGGGCATTGTGTAAACAATACATCGCCAAGGAGTTCTCGGTCTATATATGCATCACCATGTGGCATCTATCTAGAATTATACATTCATAAAAAGCACTGATATTCCTTCATATTATGATTATGAATTTCGTAAGTTTCTTTTCTATTCGGTTACAATAGAGGTGAATTCTTTGTTTTGGAGTAAAAATCTTATATTAGTTCCATGACATTTCATTCATCCAATCGTTAAAATTATATAAAGAAGTGACGTTGCCACTGCTAGTTTTGTTTCATTACATTATTTTCTCATGGGAACGAACATATTTGTAGGTTGGCTTAATAAGTATTGCGGTAAATCTACTATAGCTTTTTCATCTTGAATTGTTGAATTTGGTCGTAAGCGTTTTTAATTTCGTTAGTAATTCTATTTACTTCCTCTACAGTGCCATGTTTGACACGTAACCCGAATTAATGCGATGGAATTTTATTATCTTCATGAAGGAAAGTAGGCAGCAACCTGCTTTTGTGTTAGGTGGTACTGCATTTTTTGTCCGAAAATAATTCATAATACTGTGACGAACACGGATGATAGAACAAAATCGAATCGACGATAAATTGCCAGAAGCAACTAGACAGCGAATTCGTAGTTGCCAGAATGTTCTAGTAGTAAAGTAGTTAGCGAATTCGTAGTGGCCAGAATGTTCTAGAAGCAATGTTTTGTTACAGATTTACTATATAAGGGCTGCCGGATTGTGCAGCAAACACAGTTCTAGTTAGAGTGTTGTCGTGATAAGAGCCATCAAGCTATAAGCAAGAAGTTGTTAGCTCGAATAACGAGCAATAAGTGTTAAGTTGTTGGAATTAGAAATAAAGATAAGTGTGTAGCCATTAAATTGGGACTTTTATTTAACAATCCAGTGATCGAACTCAAAAGTGAGTTACAGGTAGACGATTTATCGAGAAATCCGTTACAATACGAATACACAAAAAATGTATCGAACCTACCGTATTCTCCACATTATAGTTTTTTTTTATTTCTCATCATTTCTGCTTTCATTCCTACGTTACTCTTAAAGTGATTTGTTCGATTGCAGAGCTGATTTGATATGTAGTCTTTTGAAGCGCGGATCAAGTATTGTGGCTTTAGATAGCAAATAATGTTTTTCCAACGGAACTCGTCGTTTGTTGACATTCGGTAAACAATCTACGAGCCAGCTGACCATATTCGGTACGGATATCCACATCGACTAAATGTCTCAACATATTAGTCAACGGTATGACAAGGCTTGCCGTAACGTATTTCTCCACGCTTATGTTTTTTGTGGCTTCCTTGAATGGCTTCAGTTATTCAATTAATTCGCAGATTAGTTTTCGCTCGTGATGACTTGTCATCTCATTCTCTTCAACAAAATAGGTCCAGTTATTGCTGCCAACGCTTTGAAGGCTTCTATTATGTCAAGATATGAGATCTATATCCTGTATGACTGTTTTCACCATGTCTTCTGGTACATTTTTTATTTGCGTAGCTCGCAATTCGTCCATTGCATTTACATAATGCTTAAAATATCGAACAATTTCTTTGATCCGAGTCAAAAGGGTTGAATATGCCGGCTTATCGGGGACAACAAGGTTTATAGTATGAGTTGTGCACGGAATGCACATATTTGTGCCTAATAATCCTTTCACAGCGGCTACAAGATTCGCTCTATTGTCTACAGTGATCGAAACTGCTTTCTGGATAGGTATTTAAAATTCATTTAATGCTTCCATGATAGAAGTGCTTATGTATTCCGATGTATGCGCTTGAAATAAAATCTACTTGTTATTAGGTTACAAGTTAAGTAAATGTAAAATTATTACCTCGTGCATCTGCACAGCCGTTAAGCAAACACTTACAAATAAAGAGGACCTTGTAGAATTTGTTATTGTAACAATGTAAATGCTATGTTATTATTTTCTTTGAATACATACTTAACAATGCGGGAGCTTCGGTATATTTGCTATCAGTGAGCTCTGTTATCTACAAAAAATACAAATAAAAAGATTAAGAAGGATAATATACTTGTAATAGAAATAACAAGTTGGTTAGAATATCTAAAAAAAACTAACTTTAAATCTGGAATCTCGGGGCATCAAACTTTTAAAAATCTCTGCCGGGCGAATTTCTCCACGGAAGTATTGGCATGTTATCTTAAGATATCATAAACACGACTGCAGCGGGTATTTGTTGCTCCTTAGTGCCACCTTCTGTTGCAATCGTTGCATATTTCCAAAAAAAATTTAAATTTACTTGCAAATTACATGACTTCGTCAAAGTTAGTTTTCAGGTTAGCGTTTCAGGGCATTTTCCCCATTTCTGCTAAAGATTGATTTGAACTTGTGCTGGTATTCTGGTCTCTGGTGTCCTGCTGAATATATATTTTTTATAATAATTATTTTTTAAAAAAGCTTAACAGCTATGTGATGATGATTTGCTTTAATATGCGTACGCATATTTGATGTGTTTCCACTCGTTTTCACCATTTTTGTGCACAATGTGCATATAATAGCGTTTTTTCCTTTGGTTTGAAATATTTCTTTAGTTTTGCCATTTTTCTTTCACGAAAAGTTACTTTTTTAGACGCCACAATCTTTTTGCACAATTGCAAAAAGTAAACTTACAAATACGGTACTTGTGATGCATGTGTGTAAGGACGCGTGCATACATACTTGTAATGTAGTCGATAATCGATGTAGCCACTTCACTTGTACCTCAATAATATTGTGACGAACACGGATGATAGAACAAAATCGAATCAACGATAAACTGCCAGAAGCAACTAGTTAGCGAATTCGTAGTTGCCAGAATGTTCTAGAAGCAATGTTTTGTTACAGATTTACTATATAATTGCTGCCGGATTGTGCAGCAAACACAGTTCTAGTTAGAGTGCCCTTATATAGTAAATCTGTAACAAAACATTGCTTCTAGAACATTGTGGCAACTACGAATTCGCTAACTTGTTGCTTCTGGCAGTTTATCGTTGATTCGATTTTGTTCTATTATCCGTGTTCGTCACAATATCAACAATCGTATACGATTGCTGCACACAGTGCCAAAAGACTGCGCGTGACTTACTTTCACCGATGAGAAGATTCAAGTTGTTATCAACCAAGGCGAAATCGTCAAAATCCATTTGACCAGATTGCATAAACATTTTGATGCTAAAGCATCTAGGCTCGACGGGAGTAAGATATCTTACCGAGGTCCTCAATCAGTCGCTAACCACTCTTGATAAGCCCAATGTGTGGAAAGAGGTGATGATGGTGGAAAGTCGGAAGCTACCCCTGACCTTAACTCACTATTTAAGTATATAGACTATGAACATTGCTTCCGTAAAGTGCACAGCACCAGTTCGTGGCTTAATTCAAAACCACCCTGTGACGGTACGATTTTATTATAGTGTCACAGTCAATTACACAACGCTACTAGAAGATATCGACACATCGGGGGTTCGGCAGGGGGCGTCTCCCTGCTACTGTTCAATATCTGTATCTCAACCACCAAAGAGAATTTCCATCACCTCATAGACAGACGGTTGTACGATATTGACGCCAGGAAATGGAATTGATGGCATGTGTTTAAAATAAACAGTTATCTCACCGGATTTTCTCGCTCCTTCTCTGCATATTCACAAACTGGACGAAGGAGCAGAGACTGGATCTTAATATCGCAGTTGATGACATTAAAATTCCATCTGTCAACAACCCTAAGATTTTAGGCGTTACTCTCGGCAGCCAGTGTACAAAATCGCACCAAAATCCTCAATTCGCTAACCGGCAGCACCTAGGGAAAAGACAACGAAACGTTATGGCAACATACAAGACAATCGGCCGGCCGGTCATTAACAGCTGAAATCATCCCTGCAATAATTTGCTTCAATCGGGGTCGCCTAGGAGTATCAAGAGGTTATTCCTTGATTACGTCGATAAAATAGATCAATACGCCGACCCCACTACGGAAGAAAATTCAGGAACGCACTGAATGCCACTCTCAGTGGCCCCATTAACACGGACCACCTTCCAGAATGGCGTCTTTGAAGTCAATTCACTACACATAGCAGAAAAAGAACTAGAGCCTCGCGAATCTATAGAGACCCTTACGCAATCGCGTTCTGGATATGTAGCAGAACGACTTTTCCAAAATCAACCCCGACAGCACGTATTATAGTGCTGCATGAAACGAGTCCCCGCAATCGTCTAACTATCTTTTTGTATGCCTGATGAAACCAACTTATCAACAATTTACTTACACCTTGCCCAAACAAAGTCTTGGTAACCATTACAACAACAATATATTTCGCAATAGCAAAACAGTAAATAGGCGGAATCGAATTGTACATAGCCAAAAAACTGTAATTTTCAAATACAGTTAAAATCGAATAATTTCGCAATTTCAAATTGAATTTGGCATAGGGGATTATTAGTGGCATATGTGGTTTTACTGTTATTGAAGAACTGCCAAAATATTAAAATTAATATCTAGTTAAGAATATTTATACTTATATATATATCCTAAAATGTTTAATAATCTTATTTATAGGTTTGTCAAGAAGAAGAGTTTTTACAGTTGTCCGCTTACCAACTGATTGCGCTAATTCGACGCGACGAGCTAAATGTTCAAGAAGAGAGGGAAGTATATAATGCCGTACTTAAATGGGTTAAATACGATGAAGAAAATCGTTATCCAAAAATGGAACATATACTTTATGCTGTTCGGTGTCAGTTTTTGACACCAAATTTCCTTAAGGAACAAATGAGAAATTGCGATGTGTTACGAAAAGTGCCCGCATGTAGGGAATATTTAGCAAAGATATTTAAAGATTTGACTTTACACAAACGACCAGTAGTAAAGGAGCGAACACCAAATACGACTCGAATGATTTTTGTAGCAGGAGGATTTTTCCGACAATCATTAGATATTCTAGAAGCATATAATGTTGATGATAAGACATGGACAACTTTGCCAAACTTACGGATTCCTCGATCTGGCCTTGGTGCTGCATTCTTGAAAGGCACTTTCTATGCTGTCGGCGGGCGTAACAATTCAATTGGGTCTTCTTACGATTCAGATTGGGTGGATCGATATAACACTTCGACAGAACAATGGCGTCCATGTGCTCCAATGACAGTGCCACGACACCGAGTAGGCGTGGCCGTAATGGACGAATTGATGTATGCAGTTGGTGGATCCGCAGGTTCGGAATATCACAGTTCAGTTGAATAGTATGTAGTTTATAGGATAGGAAAAAAAATTATTAAACGAACATATATATTTTTAATATGATTAGTTATGATCCGGATCAAGATCGCTGGACACTTGTGCAACCCATGCATGAAAAACGTTTAGGAGTTGGAGTGGTTGTTATTAATCGCTTATTGTATGCTATTGGAGGTTTTAACGGTTCCGACCGCCTTACAACTGTAGAATGCTATCATCCTGAGAATAACGAATGGACTTTGGTCCACCCAATGCAGTATGAACGAAGTGGTGCCGGTAAATTTCCATATATTCACTTAAAATATTATACTATAGTTGAAACGAAATTGGTTTATGTTATGGCACATAATATCGAAGTTTATTTGATAATAACGGTTAAATAGTTTACAATTTTTATTATTGTTAAAGCTGTGTGTGTGTTGGCATTGTGATAGAACACAGTTCCTCTCATATTGGTCACAGCTGACCGCTTCTGGGCAACAACTTCCTTCAGACGGTCCAATTGTTGCCAGTACAGGTCCGAATTAATAGTGTGGCCGTTAGAAGCAGCTAACAGTAGATGATTTCCTACCAATCTCACCAAAGACATAATAAAAACTTCCTGACTGACAGTTCTGGCTTGGCCACCAATTTCGCCGCCTCACCTTTCGACTGTGACCGTTTTCGCTTGCCGGTGTAGTAAATTACCAATTTTTATCATCAGTTAATGTTGTTGTAAATCTGCAGCGATTTGCAGAAGGAAATTCGGTCGATGACGTGTTTTGTGCATTATCTCATCAAGTATCTTCTTGTACCTAGCTTTTTTAAATGGGTTTTGGTGCAATGTTTATCTCCTGGGTAATCTAAGCAGGTCTTATACGGTATGATTCACTGATTTCCATTATTTAATCGATATTTTTGGCAATTTCCCTTACAGTGGTGCATTTTTGACATCAAAATTACCGGATATCGATGAAATCAAAATTACGCTTGATTGGTTGTAACAGTATTAGGACCATCACCTCTATCAAAAAAAAAAACTGAAAAATATGGCGTGTTTTCTCTTTTTTTAGGATAAAAGTTTTTAATAAAACTTTTTTTCACGCTTTTTTTGTTCACCTAACGGTTTATAAAAACCTAAAACTAATCGAGATAGACATAGAGTTATTATATACATATGAATGATCAAGATGACGATACTAGCTGATTTCCGGGTGACTCTCTGTTCGTCCGTCCGTCTATGCGAGCGGTAACTTGAGTAAAAATTGAGATATCTCGGTCAAACCTGGTACATGTGTTCATTGGCACCCCAAGGATGTTGATATTTCTCATCTTAACTATAATGTTTGTTAGCTGATTATGAATGTAATCGATCTAAACGCTATACCCCTAAAATAACGGTTCAGTTTTTTCACTTTTCCCACATATACATACCCAATATATTAAATTTCGTTGCCATGGTAAATCGCTAAAACTATTGTACTTTTTGCGACTTTTTAATAACCTAAGTTGTTATTAATATTTGGCTCAATTGATCCATAATTTGGTTTAAAAACGACTGTATATATTTCCGTTGCATCATTTTCTATTCTAACCTTTTTCTGTCCATTGCAAAAATTTCACATTAAAAGTTCGGTACCGTTCGAACTTAGCCCTGTCCCATCCATTTCCGTACTCCATATGTGAAATATTCGTAGGCTTTGAAAAATAAATATTGTTCTTTCAAGCACTTCACTACTATTTCGTATTTTTTGCTTTTTTTTTTACTATTGTTTCACCCTGAAAAATAGTGTTGAAAAATAACATTTGTTTATGTAAAAGTGATAACTTCGTTAAAAGGTATTATGATGAAATTTACCACAAAGCTGAAATGCATGTGGGATTTTAAACTTTTTGAAAATATATATCTCGCAAAGTAGTCTTCCAAATATAACGAAATCACATTACAAGCCACACTACTTTCCTTAGTTCCCTTATTTAATGATATTGTATGTAATCAGAATTGTTAATAGAATCCATGAAGTTATAGAAACAAGGATTAACGCAAATAGCTACTCTGGGGATCCTGATAGTTGTCAGAATCAGAATTCAAACGAATAAAATTTGGTAGTAGATCACATAAATTCTGATATTATTAGTTTGTCGTTAGAGTCCGAGGTTTTATTGGTTATTTTCTTTTTATCAAGGAAACCGATTTCATCGGGTTTGCTTTTAAAAGCTATACAAGAGACTCAGCTTTTACAATTTTATATTACGCATCTATTATTGCGCGAATACAGCTGTCATTACATTACACAGAATACCAAATTGTACTTTACAAGGGAACATCGTATACCTACCGCAGACAATATTGTATACTATCGAATACTACCAACCCTGCCAACACTGTCTGACATTGCCAAAATCAGCCAAAGAGCAGTTATCTCCATAATTTTGCTAATTTTAGAGTTTGAATATATTATATTTAAAGAAAATCATTTAATTTAAAGAGACTTCACTTTTTATTTATTTTCGAATATTTCAAACTGAAAAATTTACCAAAATTGATCTTCAAAAAATCGGTCTGAAATTTTGGACCTGTTCTTTCCTTATTAAGAAGCTGCTTATTTTTCGGGACCGCTGAAATCGGATTACTATAGCATAAAGCTGCCATACAAACTGAACGATCGGAATAAAGTGCTTGCATGGACAACTTTTTTCTTTGAAGAGTTATCTTCACGAAATTAGGCACGAATTATTTTTTAAGACAACTATGTGTTCACCGCTGAAATTGTTCAGATCAGATCACTTCTACTTCTTGTAAGGAGCCTTTGTATTTGTGATGGGTATAATAGCTTCGGTGCAACCGAAGTTAACGTTTTTTCTTGTTCTAGTACCATTTTTTGTTGAAGTAATGAGTATTTAAAGATGATTTTTTTGTTTATAATTTATAAAACTCTGACATTTTCAAAAATGTAAACTTATGTTTTCAAGTATACTCGCCTCTCAGCAGCCAACCGCAAAGGAAAACCCTGTTATAGTAACCAGCCTTTTTCTTCCGACATATTCCAAAGTAAATCTAAGAGTGGTCGGCATCGGCTCATACATATATTTATATGTTTTAGTGTATGAATACTGTTTAAATGAGTTTAAACTCCCTCCTTCAAGTGCACCGCTCTACTCATGAAAAACTGACACACTCTAGTGAAACACACCACACCTGTGAACACTCAAGGAATTTCACCCCACACCAGATGACACCACACAAGACAACATAACATACCATTTCATTCTCTTATCGTCTACGGGCCTGAGCGCCACATCAACATCATTCGATACAGCATCCCACCGCACGCGTCTAACTAGAGCAGGCATCCGATACACCGGCCGCGTTTCCAGATACACCGGCGATTGGACCGACACGTCACATCGTTTGTCAAAGCAATCCGAATTTTTCGACATCAGGTTTATAATAATTGTGTTACTGAATAATATTGTAATTATGCGAAATACAATATAAATAATAAAAAATATTTGGAGATTTTCCCTAACATATTCAGTGCGATAGTGAGTGGAATGTAACATTTGAAATATTTGAGAAGTTTTCCAATAAATTTGGTCCCCATTATTTATTGTCCTTCGAGCCATAGTGAGCAGCACTATGAGTGAATAAATAAAAAAAAACGATAAATTCGAGAAAAAAAGTGCTGTGAGAAACACAGTGTGGCTAAACGTTAAAATACACATGAAAAATACATAAGTGCTGTGCAGTGCAGTGAAAAACATATATACACATAGAAAAAGACATAAGTGCTGTGCAGTGCAGTGGCAAAACATATATCACATACAAAAATCAAAACACAAAAAGGTTCTACATAGATAGAAGTGCAGTGCAGTGAGTACATATACACATAGAAAACAAAAAGAACAGAAGAAGGTGAGTGAAGTGATGTGGCACAAGCATATATACATAACAAAAAGCAAGAAAAACCAACAACGTGGCGAAATAATCAAAAGACAGAACGGGCGCGAATTTCAACAAAATACATACATAAAAGACAGAACTGGCGCGAACTAAATAAAAGAAAACCGTACCAGCAAACAACAACAACCAAACCACTCAGCTCACCAAATCACCCACCGCAGCCAAGCAGCAAGGACTGGCAACAACGAAAGGCACACGCACAGGCACATAGTTAAAATATTGTCCCAAAACCCTTGGCGGAAACCCAAAGTGAGTCGTATCGATTCCATTTAGTATATGTATATATCCTCTTATTCTATGTATGTTGAAATTTATGCCTTTGCGGTTTATTTTTACAAAATCCGTCTTAGTAAAGGCAATTACGGGACCCACGCTCAACCAGATTTAATGCTACTAATTTTAAATTGGCGTATATTCAAATACGTATTTAACGGAGCGTCGAAAATGTATAGACAAATAGTCGTACATAAGACGATCAAGATTTTCAGCGAATTATTTTCCGAAAATCCCCAGTAGTCCACTCGCGACTACAAATTGCGTTACCTTTGGCGTCAACTGTGCTCCATATTCAGCCATTCGAACACTGCACGAATTGGCAGAAAACACCAAGTCAGAATTTCCTCTGGCAACCCAGGTGTTAAAACACAAACGTATGTAGACGATATCCTGTCCGGAAGTCACAGTCTTCCACAAGCATACGAGTCACTAGCACAGTGACACAAGCCTCAAACCGCAGGGTTCTGTTAAAAAGATAACGGCGAACCACCCTGATATCCTAAAGGACATACTTAAAGAAAATCTGTTGGATACTATTTCTTGAATTCGAAAAGGAAAGTACAACAAAACTCTGGGATCAATGGAATGCGATATCTGACCAGTTTTCATACACTACAGAGTCAATATCAGCATTATCCGCCATAACAAAACGCCAAATTTTATCCTCTGTGGCAAAACTTTTCGACCCCGCAGGATGGCTTTCGCCAATTATGATACAAGCGAAAATCCTAATTCTTCTTCACTTAGAAAAATGGTCACAATCCTAAAACAATCTTAACGATATCCGAATCTACCGATTCTTGGCCACAATCGCCCACTTCCATACATACTTCTCTTACTATAGTGCCTCATAGTTGCCTAAATTTTCATAATCAAATACAATTCAAAATTAAAGTTAAGGAATCACCATACTTGCAATGTGATACAGTGACGCACCCAGACTTACAAAAAGCAAAGGTCGCACTTATCGCATCTATCTAAGCGCTCATCATACGGGTAGTTGATGGGAAACACTTGTAAAAGTTGTAAATCTCACTTCAAAAAAGTGAGCGAAAATCACAAATCTCACTCTCGCAAGATCCCTCTTCGAAGGTTTGAAAGGAGCACCCATTCTGGCCATATCTGAGCCAGGCGTGGAGTCGCTATCCTCATAAGCCGATAATAAAGAGATTGCAAATAATTGCTGATAATACAGAAAAGGCAAATCATAAACAATCCGCATAAAAAATTGATAAAAGAAAAAATCCTAAAATTCTCGCCCTCGGCTACTTCATCAACAGCACGCCGAAATGCATAATACAGCCCATATGTGTTATACTAGGCAAAATATTCACCTAGGGGGCCCAGGATGTTTTAATGAGTTTAAACTCCCTCCTTCAAGTGCACCACTCTACTCGGGAAAAACTGACACACCCTAGTGAAACACACCACACCTGTGAACACTCAAGGAATTTCACCCCACACCAGATGACACCACACAAGACAACACAACATACCATTTCATTCTCTTATCGTCTACGGGCCTGAGCGCCACATCAACATCATTCGATACAGCATCCCACCGCACGCGTCTAACTAGAGCAGGCATCCGATACACCGGCCGCGTTTCCAGATACACCGGCGATTGGACCGACACGTCACATCGTTTCGTCAAAGCAATCCCAGATATTTTTCGACATCAGGTTTATAATAATTGTGTTACTGAATAATATTGTAATTATGCGAAAATACATAATAAATAATAATATAAATACTTGGAGATTTTCCCTAACATATTCAGTGCGATAGTGAGTGTAATGTAACATTTGAAATATATTGAGAAGTTTTCCAATAAATTTGGTCCCCAATTATTCAAATACATTTCCGCTGAGAAATAAATTTGATTTGTTCACATTGATAAGGTAAATTAGCTGTAGGACCCTTAAACGATAAAACGCACATAATCAGCTATGTTCTGTATTTCGCTTTCACATCAAAGGAAGTGATTTGGTTTGAAATCGAATTTGCCGTTTCTGGAAACGGAAAAATTTTGATGTAAAATCGAAGTGACATGCTTTGTTCTGAAAACCGAATTCACATATTTAAATGTAGTTACAAAATGAAAAACTTGTAACGTGTGGTCTTTTCTCTGCGTACATGCCAACGAGTGATATGTGAACGAAGAAAGGTTCGAGGGGAAATTTTCTGTAAAGAGCTCGCCATTAACTTTAGCTTCAGGATACCGAACCACTGTAGTATTTTTCAAGCAGAAGTGGGTGCAGTTAAGGTACCGGTAGAAGTGCAGCTTAATGGAGAGGTGTGCACGACCGCAGAGCGGCAATACTAGCATGACTGAGCGTTTTGGGTTAGTCAAGGTCTTAGAGTCTGATTTCACTACCAATAGGATCAAGTTACTTTGTTATCATACTGATTTGGATGCCTGGTCATAGCAGAATCGTTAGAAACTGCAAAGCTGATGGGCTGAGAAATTGGATCTTAGTCCAATCTCATCAGACTGGTTCGGTGCTCCCGCTGTCCTTTTACATTCCAGCACAAGGATCTGTGTGACAGCGAAATCTTTCTGGTTCAAAGAAGAGTCTAAAATGTCCTTTGAATTACGTGCTCTTAGCAAGGTTCATCTCACCGCAATGATAGAAGTTCTTATTGGACACTGTCCTATATTCGAGGTGTGTTCAAAGAAAAAGGTGAATTTAAAATTTTTTTGAAAAGAACTTATTTATTCAGCACGATTTATTTTGTCCCCTTAAAAGTAAACTCCCTCGGATATAATACACTTGTGCCAACGCTGTTCCCAATGCTCGAAACACTTCTAAAATGCGCTTTTCGGTATGGCCATCAGCTCTTTCTTCGATTCTGACTTGATCTCATCAATTGTGGCAAAACTCTTTCCTCTCATTCGTTTCTTCAGTTTTTGGAATAGGAAAAAGTCACAGGTTTTGCTCAAGATTTAGCACAAACTTCGCTGCCACACGTTTCATGCCCAAAACATCAAAACATTCGAGAAAATTGAATGACATGAGCCATTGCAGAGGATGTTGGCATATCAATCAACATCCTCTGCAGCTTCTCTAATAGTTATTCGATCATTTTCAAAAACAATTGATTTCACTGTTTCGATGTTTTCTTCGCTTGTTGACGTGGTCGCACTTCCAGGATGCTCATCGTCATCAACATCTTCTCGGCCGTCTGTAAATTTATAATCTGTACCATTTATAAACACTTTTATGAGACAAAGTGCACTTTATTCCATTTTTACGCAAAATTTAATACACATTCTTTGATCCATTTCTTTCAAAAGTCAAAGTTTGAAGAGCACACAAAAATGTGGCTAACCTTTGGTGTTGTCAAAAACCAACTACTATTTGAAATTGGCTTCTAATGCATGCATATGATAAACATATGTGCCCAATTATAACAAAAACAATATGTCGATAATCGAATGTACACAGCCCGCGAAAAATCAAAATTCACCTTTTCCTTGGAACACACCTCGTATACCTACGGTGAGGCTAAAGATTTTGGAGACCGCAAATTGTTTAAGCTGTATGGAGAAATGTGAGATAGAAACATCTAGACCTTATTTCCACTGTTCAACTTCCGCTAGACTAAGATTAAAGCATTTTGGTAGTCATACCTTCTACAAAAATGGCAAATTAGCTAGAATTGATATTAGCGACCACAAAAAACTTGTGATAGGCTCATGGCGCTTTGTCAATATGCGAAGGTCTTTTCATCACAACGGACCGGCATTTCTATCTGTAATAATGAAAGCTTTATAAATTTGCTGATATATTTTTGCATGATTTTGCTACTCTTTACGAGCAAACACAAAATTATTGAACAGAAGACAGTTTTACTCAATGGCTACTGCAATACTGTAGTAATAATCTGACCTGCCATCAATACAACCAAACACTCCAGGAATACCATATTTTCCACAAGAAAAGCGTTTAGATTTAGTTATATCATTGTCATTTCCAATTCAGTTCGCTCCCAATGCAATGTTCGCTCTATTTGTCAACTTTCGTTACTGTGCTTCTTCCTAATGAAACGTGCGTTACTTTCCCAACGGTCATTTGGAAACGTCCTTTTGCTCCCTGTTGCAGATAAATTGGAATTCCTCGATAATGTGTTACAAAATTAAATTAGTCATAGGGGTATTTAAACAGTACATCAACAATTTCGAACTGATTTGACCTATCTTTGAAAATCCTTTTTTTTTTTAATCTTGTCCAACGTGAAGTCATTCTTTTGCAGAACTCTCACGGCAGCTCGCATGTTCGAAGCGAAAATCACAAATCTCACTCTCGCAAGATCCCTCTTCGAAGGTTTGAAAGGAGCACCCATTCTGGCCATATCTGAGCCAGGCGTTGAGTCGCTATCCTCATAAGCCGATAATAAAGAGATTGCAAATAATTGCTGATAATACAGAAAAGGCAAATCATAAACAATCCGCATAAAAAATTGATAAAAGAAAAAATCCTAAAATTCTCGCCCTCGGCTACTTCATCAACAGCACGCCGAAATGCGTAATACAGCCCATATATGTTATACTAGGCAAAATATTCGCCTAGGGGGCCCAGGATGTTTAAATGAGTTTAAACTCCCTCCTTCAAGTGCACCACTCTACTCGGGAAAAACTGACACACCCTAGTGAAACACACCACACCTGTGAACACTCAAAGAATTTCACCCCACACCAGATGACACCACACAAGACAACACAACATACCATTTCATTCTCTTATCGTCTACGGGCCTGAGCGCCACATCAACATCATTCGATACAGCATCCCACCGCACGCGTCTAACTAGAGCAGGCATCCGATACACCGGCCGCGTTTCCAGATACACCGGCGATTGGACCGACACGTCACATCGTTTCGTCAAAGCAATCCCGGATATTTTTCGACATCAGGTTTATAATAATTGTGTTACTGTTCGAGAAAATAAAATTTTTTGAAGAACGAAATATCAATTGAAAACAAATGTCATTTGCTTCAAACATATGTTTCTATGTGAAATAGTCTTCGAAATAAAAGAAATTATTCGGTTTGCAGAACACCTTAATTCAAATCATTCGGTTTGTAAAAACAATATCACATCAATTTTATTCGGTTTCTGCAACATGCTTGTATATTTAGAATGTATGAATTAACTTAGATATATATACATAGTTATATAATATAATTAATATAATTTTAAATAAAATTTGCAGGTGTTGCTGCTATAAACCAATATATTTATGTCGTTGGAGGATTTGACGGAACGCGTCAACTTGCTACGGTGGAACGGTATGACACTGAAAATCAAGTTTGGGAACTAGTAGCCCCAGTGCGAGTTGCTCGAAGTGCTCTTTCACTTACTTCTTTAGATGGAAAACTATATGCTATTGGGGGATTTGATGGTACAAACTTTCTTTCTATTGTCGAAGTTTATGATCCTAAGACAAACACTTGGGAACAAGGTACTCCTCTCAATTCTGGGCGTTCGGGTCACGCTTCCGCCGTGATATACCAACCATCTTGTGCTACAAATTTTATGGATTGTATAGACATTGGAACATCTAAGCGGGATGGCAGTGATTTTTGTCACGATCAAACACCAGGAAGTAGCAAAACTAGTCAAACAGGACATCAATTTGATAGTACAAATAATGTGGGCTCCTCTTTCCACTATCGTACATCTTTTGGTGGGAATAACTGCCGAAATTGTGACTGTGATTTAAAATCAAGAGAGGATATTAAAAATGAATGTTCTAATGAATATAAAACCAGATTATTAACTTTTTTTGAAAATTCTTTTTATGTGAGTTTATTAAAACAACATTTAAATTCGATATCTTTGTTGGGCCTTTCGGTGATTATTTCGGAAGAGAATTGGAAATGCAGTCAATATTATTATCGCTTACTTGTTATGCTAAGTTATTTGAAAAAAAGGATCAGTGGGTTTGAGTTTTATAGGTATTTTCATGAACTGCGGGAAAGGAATTGTAAGCAAAATATTCTAAAATGATAGATTCATATATGTGGGATCAACTCTCTAGATTTTAAGTTTTATTTAGTTAGCGTAATAATTACGTTATGAATCTGTCGTTCAATTTAGTAGGTAAAACGTATTTAATTGTGATAATCCTGTTTTTTTCAGAATATGAGAATTGTGTGGTAAAATAATAAATAAGAAATTAAATAGAAAAACTTGTTCCTGTTTTTTATTTCAATCTATACTAAAACATAATAAGAAAAAAATTACTATCAGTCATGATCTGCGTATACTAGTTACATTAAAGGCACGTATAATCCAAACAACACACAATTTATTTGAGGGCAGTTGTAAATTTTTGATTTTAGTTGTAAAATTTAAAAGCAAGCTGAATACAATAGAACACTGCTCAATTACAATAGATGGTTGAACGTCCCATACCAATACAAATTTCATTACAGTGAAGTGTCACTTTATTGACGATTTAAAATTAAAATCTGCTGTACTGGCTTCACAGCCCCTTCTGAATGAAACGAATCACTGTAGTATAATATCGCTGCAACCATAATGAAAATTTGAAATGATTTGTCGTTTTTCATAAAATTGAAACGGTCGTTACTGACAATGCAGCTTCAAAGAAAAAGGGATGCGAATTGATGCGAAAAAAAAATACCTAGCTGGTCCCTGGCGTTAAAGAATGTTCAGGAGGTTTTAAAATGTGTTTAGAATATTGTCAGGTACTTCAAAAGCAGCTCGATTGCATATGTTAATTTAAAAAAGCACAAAATACTGATAAACCGAATGCAGGAAGTGCCGACGCTTGGGACAGCGCATTCCACATGCTTCAGCGGGTCATCCTTATTACAGAGGCGATTTGCTCAGTGCTACTCACAACTTCGAAGGCTCCATTGCTCTTAACAGAGGTGCAGTTTTCATTGATTGAAAATATTTTGGGCCATTCGAGACATCGATCTTGAACGCTTGTCTTATTAATAAAATTAGGTAACTTTAAGCGAAAAATTAAGACGATTGTGGGGGCTGACACTTATTCTTCTTCCTTACCTATAAAATTAAAGAGTAGACTCCTTGTGAAACCAGAACGGTTACACGGATGGCAACGATACTCGATCGGCGCTTTAAGAAGGAAAGCTTTCATAACCCAACTAATGCAAACCAAGCAGTGATAGCATTGGAAAATCACTTGACATCTGTCATTATTCGACGGAAGCGTGAAAGGATTACTAACATTTGGTATATTATTGACTTATATTATAGGTCATTCACTCACTTAGTTTTGTTATAACCTGTTACTGCATATGCAAGATATTTATATTAAAATCAAGCAAATTAACTCAAATGCAATATATGTGATATAAACCTCGTATATGAGGAAAACATGAACCATAGGACCGGAATTAGTATATTAGAGATATGAGGTTTACACTAAGATCTAGACTAATTTCACCATTAAGTCTACATTCAGCTTTAAAATTGGTTACAAAAGTATTAAAAATTATTAAGAAAAATTAAATTCAATATTTTGTTGGATAGCCGCGTTGTTTTAACACCTCGCTCAATCGCTGTAATCTGGGACCATTCTTCTTTCATAACACTTCGCAAAGCCTCTTTACTTATTATTGTATGCTGACGAATTCTTTTTTCCAACAGATCCCATAGATCCATTATCCATTGTGGATAAATTCAAGCTGACCCATATCACCAGCCGCCATGCAACCCCACACCATAATTCCGCCACCTCCGTGTTTAACTGTACCAACAAGATTTTGCTTTTCAAGGGCACTTCCTGACTTGCGCCACACAATTTGTCGACCTTTAATGCCAAAAATGCAAAATTTACTTTCGTCCGAAAATATTACTTGTCTCCAGAATTCCGGCGACTTATTTATATAATCATGAGCAAATTCAATGTGCTTTGGCCTGTTTACCAGTGAAATATATGGTTTCTTTCGAGCGACTCTACCATGATATCCAGCTTTTCGTAAAATTTTTCTAGCGGTTTCGGCACAAAATGTTTTTTTAATAGTTATATTGACGTTTCCAATAATCTTTCTGGACGTAATTCGAGTGTTAACTTTCACCATATTTATTATTTTCTGTTCTTACCGGGCTGATAATATTTTCGGACGGTCAGATCGCGGTTTAGACGTTAAAATTCTGGTTTTTTTTAAATTGTTTACGACGCGTTGGACAGAAAAATACGTTCTTCCAATAGTTTGCCCAATTTTCTGAAACTTTCGCTATCTTTCCACAACTTAATGATAATTTTTCTTTCTGACAGACTAATTTCTTTTCTTTTAGTTTCCATTTTTTTAAATATTATATTACTAAAACGCGTCACGAGCTTTTTGAACAACTAATTATATTAAAAGACAATAGAATCTACGCAAAAAGAACTAACAAATTTATGAGAAGTAACGGTATTTCCAATTCAAGCCAACTGAACGCAGACTTAATGGTGCCTATGTTGTACTTGTTCTTACACTAAAATCCCGTTATCACAATAATTAAAATAGGAATATACATTTTTGTTTTTGCATTTTGAACTTAAGAATATAAAGAAGAAATACATGTAGAAAATTTGAACTGAATTACCTATTTACATTCTTTTTTTCCTTCACTTAAAAAATGGGTCGGGTGAACACAGACTTTATTGGCTATGTGTATATATTATATTAAATGGAAGCTGGAGTAATTCGGTGAGTGATTCCACATATTTAGGGCATTCAACTAATGTATAGGCTCTACCAATAAGAACGACGTAATGATAAAAAAAAATAAAACTCTCAAATTTGGTCAAAATGGGTTCTGTTATTTTTTTTTTTTTTGTTATGCTTACGCTTACGCCAATTTTGCCAATGTTGTCTACGAGCGTTATGGATTGATTAGCGTAACCTTTAGTCTAACATAACCCCAGAGAAAATATTGAAAAAGCGTTAAATCGCATGATTTGATGGCAATTTCACTGGGCCATTTTTCGAAAGTAACGAGTCGCCAAACACCATGTGTTCATGTTTAAACGTAAAATATGAGGCGGCGCACCGTCTTGATTTCATCCAATTCCAGGAAAAAACTAGGTTACCACACGAGAATTTAAATCCCCTCAATAGCGACAATTTTATTTTTGGACAATTTACAATCGTTGTACCAAAATAATGTGTGACATGATGAAATGGCAAACCTTACTGAACATACTGACAAATTTTGACACAAAGCCGTAAACAAACATGTCCGCCACGAGCTGCCAAGAGCACGTCATCCCTATTAATGGACGCTATTTTTACATAAGCATAAAAATAGAGATTCATTAAATCTAGCTTATTGTAGTAAAAAAAGATAGATAATAGGTGTAAGGGTTGTTAAGCGAAATTGCAGCAAAACGACGTCGTAAAAAATCCAATTTGGAAGCAGCTTTTTGACGAAATGAACTAAGTATATATGCAGCTACACGGAATATAGTGTCTTTAAATAACTTCCCTAAAGGGGAAATAATTAAAATGCTGTATGCATCATTCGAATTAAAAAAGAATATCCACCTATCTCCAACATACTATAAACAAATGTCACACACAAGCCTGGAATATAACGAATTAACTGTGTCATTAATAACATGATTGAAGGGTCAGTTCACCTATTACAAATGCTGCTTAACCTGCAGGTGCGCAAAAAAGACTTTTCAAAGGACTTGGTCTAATATTCAGATTTTGAACTACAGATAAAAATGTTTCAACTGTAATTAACCCCCCTTAATTTATTAGTCAATGCTGAATCTGCACCTTGCAAGCCCTACAAATAGATATTTGGGTTTATTTCTAGAAGTACACACACTTTAAACTCATTTTCAACAATATCGTTCATTTTGTGCACCTTCTAAGTATATTTCATTACAAAGACTTTCTAAGTATCTTTTTCATGATTTTCATAAATTAGACTGCTATATGTTATGCAAGTTCGCTCCTTGTCGTCTTCAATAACATCTTGCTGTTACGCCATGAATAGTAAAGCGTTACTATTTCGCTGAAATACTCAACTCTAGCTACATCTGAGCTAACCTTCTATACTGATTATACATGGTTTGATACGTCTTTCAACAAAACCGCTACCGTTTCTACGGGGAATGGCAACCCTACAATCAGATAAGTTATCACATTCCCTCTTACATTCTTCATGATCTCTGTCTTGTACTCTTCCTTGATTCAAAAATAGTTTCTATCCGATTGGGTCACTACACCTGACGGTTCAAAATACCAACTACGAATATTTCAGTATATTCTAAAGAATGTTCACAATACCCCTAAAAAAATTCTGGTGCAGTCAAGTAAGATGACCTTGGGAGCCAGCGGAAAGTGGAGTTTTTGATATTAATTTGCTTTTATCTTGCTGAAACCAAACGCTATAAAGGGATGCGCACCCCACAGTGATTCGTTCCGGGTGAGGTTCTGTCTCATGGATTATTTCTGGATTTGATTCACTCCTTGTATGGCAATTTTCCATATTCCATTTTTATTTCCACATAAACAGGCAATTCCTTAAGTTATTGTCTTCTTCGGCCATTTCAATCATTTTGTGGCAAAATTCCAGGCGAATAGGCAAATATAGAGAGTTACCCGGCTTTGTGCGAAAACAAGTTTAAGCCATCATGAATTATCCTTTGTAATGACCGTGTTGCGAGTCGAAACTCTTGGATTTGCTCGAATTGACGATGCAACAGCCGCGATTGTTTCTTGAACACGAACATACGGATCTCGGTGGTATGGTCTTCTTGCGATTCCTCAACATTCGGCAAACATGTTTACCAACCTCATAATGGTCCATCTACTAAGGGGAGTGCCGCCAAAATCCTGTTGAATTCCCTTTGGACGGAAAAGACGGACTGCAAAGCATGGTACTGCTGCAATATTCAAACCCTCCTTTCGGTATCCCAAACATAATTTTTTAAAAACTTTAATAATAATCTGTCAAATAAAAAAAATTAAGTCGATTACTCACACAGAAAAAATATTATTACGGTTTCTTTTTGTCGCACGATTCGTGAGCCACCGTGTATATGTGGGGGACCTTTTTGTTGAAATTCTACTTTTCTGAAAAGTTTTTATAAAAAATGCTCATCAAAAAATCGTCATTATGTTTAAATAGTTTAAGACAAGTCCCCTCATCTGATCAAAATAGGCGATATCTATATTCTTATGTTG